TGAGCATTTTAAAATGGGCTATAAAGAAACTGCAATCAAAACGATGCTAAAAACCCCGAAATGTCAATATTTAAGGAGTTATGAGCGTTTTAAAATATGCTATAAAGAAACTGCAATCGAAACGATGCTAAAAACCCCGAAATGTCAATATTTAAGGAGTTATGAGCATTTTAAAATGGGCTATAAAGAAACTGCAATCAAAACGATGCTAAAAACCCCGAAATGTCAATATTTAAGGAGTTATGAGCGTTTTAAAATAAGCTATTTTTCCTCTTTAAATATCTGCAATCAAACGATGCTAAAAACCCCGAAATGTCAACATTTAAGGAGTTATGAGCGTTTTAAAATAGGCTATTTTTCCTCTTTAAATATCTGCAATTAAAACGATGCTAAAAACCCCCAAATGTCAATATTTAAGGAGTTATGAGCGTTTTAAAATAGGCTATTTTTCCTCTTTAAATATCTGCAATCAAAACGATGCTAAAAACCCCGAAATGTCAATATTTAAGGAGTTATGAGCGTTTTAAAATAGGCTATTTTTCCTCTTTAAATATCTGCAATTAAAACGATGCTAAAAACCCCGAAATGTCAATATTTAAGGAGTTATGAGCGTTTTAAAATAGGCTATTTTTCCTCTTTAAATATCTGCAATCAAAACGATGCTAAAAACCCCGAAATGTCAATATTTAAGGAGTTATGAGCGTTTTAAAATAGGCTATGTTTCCTCTTTAAATATCTGCAATTAAAACGATGCTAAAAACCCCGAAATGTCAATATTAAGGAGTTATGAGCGTTTTAAAATAGGCTATTTTTCCTCTTTAAATATCTGCAATCAAAACGATGCTAAAAACCCCGAAATGTCAATATTTAAGGAGTTATGAGCGTTTTAAAATAGGCTATTTTTCCTCTTTAAATATCTGCAATTAAAACGATGCTAAAAACCCCGAAATGTCAATATTTAAGGAGTTATGAGCGTTTTAAAATAGGCTATTTTTCCTCTTTAAATATCTGCAATTAAAACGATGCTAAAAACCCCGAAATGTCAATATTTAAGGAGTTATGAGCGTTTTAAAATAGGCTATTTTTCGTCTTTAAATATCTGCAATTAAAACGATGTTAAAATCCCCGAAATGTCAATATTTAAGGAGTTATAAGCGTTTTAAAATAGGCTATTTTTCCTCTTTAAATATATGCAATCAAAACGATGCTAAAAACCCCGAAATGTCAATATTTAAGGAGTTATGAGCGTTTTAAAATAGGCTATTTTTCCTCTTTAAATATCTGCAATTAAAACGATGCTAAAAACCCCCAAATGTCAATATTTAAGGAGTTATGAGCGTTTTAAAATAGGCTATTTTTCCTCTTTAAATATCTGCAATCAAAACGATGCTAAAAACCCCGAAATGTCAATATTTAAGGAGTTATGAGCGTTTTAAAATAGGCTATTTTTCCTCTTTAAATATCTGCAATTAAAACGATGCTAAAAACCCCGAAATGTCATATTTAAGGAGTTATGAGCGTTTTAAAATAGGCTATTTTTCCTCTTTAAATATCTGCAATCAAAACGATGCAAAAAACCCCGAAATGTCAATATTTAAGGAGTTATGAGCGTTTTAAAATAGGCTATTTTTCCTCTTTAAATATCTGCAATCAAAACGATGCTAAAACCTCGAAATGTCAATATTTAAGGAGTTATGAGCATTTTAAAATGGGCTATAAAGAAACTGCAATCAAAACGATGCTAAAACCCCGAAATGTCAATATTTAAGGAGTTATGAGCGTTTTAAAATATGCTATAAAGAAACTGCAATCGAAACGATGCTATGAACCCCGAAATGTCAATATTTAAGGAGTTATGAGCGTTTTAAAATAGGCTATTTTTCCTCTTTAAATATCTGCAATCAAAACGATGCTAAAAACCCCGAAATGTCAATATTTAAGGAGTTATGAGCGTTTTAAAATAGGCTATTTTTCCTCTTTAATATCTGCAATTAAAACGATGCTAAAAACCCCGAAATGTCAATATTTAAGGAGTTATAAGCGTTTTAAAATAGGCTATTTTTCCTCTTTAAATATCTGCAATCAAAACGATGCTAAAAACCCCGAAATGTCAATATTTAAGGAGTTATGAGCGTTTTAAAATAGGCTATTTTTTCTCTTTAAATATCTGCAATTAAAACGATGCTAAAAACCCCGAAATGTCAATATTTAAGGAGTTATGAGCGTTTTAAAATAGGCTATTTTTCCTCTTTAAATATCTGCAATTAAAACGATGCTAAAAACCCCGAAATGTCAATATTTAAGGAGTTATGAGCGTTTTAAAATAGGCTATTTTTCCTCTTTAAATATCTGCAATTAAAACGATGTTAAAATCCCCGAAATGTCAATATTTAAGGAGTTATAAGCGTTTTAAAATAGGCTATTTTTCCTCTTTAAATATCTGCAATCAAAACGATGCTAAAAACCCCGAAATGTCAATATTTAAGGAGTTATGAGCGTTTTAAAATAGGCTATTTTTCCTCTTTAAATATCTGCAATTAAAACGATGCTAAAAACCCCCAAATGTCAATATTTAAGGAGTTATGAGCGTTTTAAAATAGGCTATTTTTCCTCTTTAAATATCTGCAATCAAAACGATGCTAAAAACCCCGAAATGTCAATATTTAAGGAGTTATGAGCGTTTTAAATAGGCTATTTTTCCTCTTTAAATATCTGCAATTAAAACGATGCTAAAAAACCCCGAAATGTCAATATTTAAGGAGTTATGAGCGTTTTAAAATAGGCTATTTTTCCTCTTTAAATATCTGCAATTAAAACGATGCTAAAAACCCCGAAATGTCAATATTTAAGGAGTTATGAGCGTTTTAAAATAGGCTATTTTTCCTCTTTTAAATATCTGCAATCAAACGATGCAAAAAACCCCGAAATGTCAATATTTAAGGAGTTATGAGCGTTTTAAAATAGGCTATTTTTCCTCTTTAAATATCTGCAATCAAAACGATGCTAAAACCTCGAAATGTCAATATTTAAGGAGTTATGAGCATTTTAAAATGGGCTATAAAGAAACTGCAATCAAAACGATGCTAAAAACCCCGAAATGTCAATATTTAAGGAGTTATGAGCGTTTTAAAATATGCTATAAAGAAACTGCAATCGAAACGATGCTAAGAACCCCGAAATGTCAATATTTAAGGAGTTATGAGCGTTTTAAAATAGGCTATTTTTCCTCTTTAAATATCTGCAATCAAAACGATGCTAAAAACCCCGAAATGTCAATATTTAAGGAGTTATGAGCGTTTTAAAATAGGCTATTTTTCCTCTTTAAATATCTGCAATTAAAACGATGCTAAAAACCCCGAAATGTCAATATTTAAGGAGTTATAAGCGTTTTAAAATAGGCTATTTTTCCTCTTTAAATATCTGCAATCAAAACGATGCTAAAAACCCCGAAATGTCAATATTTAAGGAGTTATGAGCGTTTTAAAATAGGCCATTTTTCCTCTTTAAATATCTGCCATCAAAACGATGCTAAAAACCCCGAAATGTCAATATTTAAGAAGTTATGAGCGTCTTAAAATAGGCTATTTTTCCTCTTTAAATATCTGCAATTAAAACGATGCTAAAAACCCCGAAATGTCAATATTTAAGGAGTTATGAGCGTTTTAAAATAGGCTATTTTTCCTCTTTAAATATCTGCAATCAAAACGATGCTACAGAACCCCGAAATGTCAATATTTAAGGAGTTATGAGCGTTTTAAAATAGGCTATTTTTCCTCTTTAAATATCTGCAATTAAAACGATGCTAAAAACCCCGAAATGTCAATATTTAAGGAGTTATGAGCGTTTTAAAATAGGCTATTTTTCCTCTTTAAATATCTGCAATCAAAACGATGCTAAAAACCCCGAAATGTCAATATTTAAGGAGTTATGAGCATTTTAAAATGGGCTATAAAGAAACTGCAATCAAAACGATGCTAAAAACCCCGAAATGTCAATATTTAAGGAGTTATGAGCGTTTTAAAATAGGCTATTTTTCCTCTTTAAATATCTGCAATCAAAACGATGCTAAAAACCCCGAAATGTCAACATTTAAGGAGTTATGAGCGTTTTAAAATAGGTTATTTTTCCTCTTTAAATATCTGCAATCAAAACGATGCTAAAAACCTCGAAATGTCAATATTTAAGGAGTTATGAGCATTTTAAAATGGGCTATAAAGAAACTGCAATCAAAACGATGCTAAAAACCCCGAAATGTCAATATTTAAGGAGTTATGAGCGTTTTAAAATATGCTATAAAGAAACTGCAATCGAAACGATGCTAAGAACCCCGAAATGTCAATATTTAAGGAGTTATGAGCGTTTTAAAATAGGCTATTTTTCCTCTTTAAATATCTGCAATCAAAACGATGTAAAAAAGCCCGAAATGTCAATATTTAAGGAGTTATGAGCGTTTTAAAATATGCTATAAAGAAACAGCAATCGAAACGATGCTAAGAACCCCGAAATGTCAATATTTAAGGAGTTATGAGCGTTTTAAAATAGGCTATTTTTCCTCTTTAAATATCTGCAATCAAAACGATGCTAAAAACCCCGAAATGTCAATATTTAAGGAGTTATGAGCATTTTAAAATGGGCTATAAAGAAACTGCAATCGAAACGATGCTAAGAACCCCGAAATGTCAATATTTAAGGAGTTATGAGCGTTTTAAAATAGGCTATTTTTCCTCTTTAAATATCTGCAATCAAAACGATGCTAAAAACCCCGAAATGTCAATATTTAAGAAGTTATGAGCGTTTTAAAATAGGCTATTTTTCCTCTTTAAATATCTGCAATCAAAACGATGCTAAAAACCCCGAAATGTCAATATTTAAGGAGTTATGAGCATTTTAAAATGGGCTATAAAGAAACTGCAATCAAAACGATGCAAAAAACCCCGAAATGTCAATAATTAAGGAGTTATGAGCGTTTTAAAATATGCTATAAGTAGATAGGGGTTGCTGATTGACGATATTAATAGCCAAAATTTAGCTAAAATTTAGTAATTAGTGTCACTATAGAGTAATTAGGGTCTGAAATGGGGATAATTTATGTGGATTTAGTAGCCGGGGGGAAATGCAGGTGTTCAATACGCATGTCAAAGGCAAGGCGTTGTTATTGTTATCCCTTTTATTTGTATTGATCGTGTCTGTGGCTTATTTTCCACGATGTTTGATTTGAACGTGATTTGTTTACGTGGTGTAAATGGGGATAATTTATGTGGATTCAGTAGCCGGGGTGAAATGGGGATAATTTATGCGGATTTAGTAACCGGGGGCAAATGCAGATGTTCAATACGCATTTCAAAGGCAAGGCGTTGTTATTGTTATCCCTTTTATTTGTATTGATCGTGTCTATGGCTTATTGTGCAAATGGGGGTCATTTATGTGGATTCAGTAGCCGAGGTGAAATGGGGATAATTAATGTGAAATGCAGTGTTCAATGCATTGCCTATGACTTATTTTTCATGATGTTTGATTTGTACGTGATTTGTTTGCGTGGTTTGTTTAAGCATAGAAAATGCAGGTGTGTAATATTTTTAGGGGATGATTGTGTGTAATGTTTAAGACGAACTGTATTAAGATGATCTTTTGACCGGGTGATGCAGGTGGTTATGTGTGTGTGTGATGGTGCCTATGACTTATTAACCACGGGGGCATTCTATTGCAGTTAATATCGTGTAGTGAGTTATTGCACGCATATTTTAGGGGATGTTTGTGTGTGTGTTGTTTGAGACGCACTCAGTGTCGAGATGACATTTTTTTAGGATGGCGCCTAATTTCTTTACATTACAAATGTGTGTTTGAATTATGATTTTTTTTTTTTATTTGGAATTTCCTTACTAACAATTTGTGTATTATATTTGACTTATGAATTAATTATCAATAAATTCGGAAAAAGGTTGACAATTATTCTAAAAATATTGTTTGAGTGATAGAATCTTGATATTCGTCAAGTGTAAGATGAATTTATTGGTGACAACCAAGGGTTTCTATAATGTATGCAGGTGTTAGTATTGAGACATACTTAAGGCTAATTTTTTGTTCTAGGGAATTTTTAAGATGTTGTGTTTGGGTAAAATAATATTCTTATAGAAGACAGTCAAAATTCCCGCGGTGTAAACCATTGTTGTATCAGCATCGATGTTTTGTGAAAAGTCTGTTTCTCATATTCACTTTCTGTTGAGACTTCGACTATAAAGTATCAAAATTTTTTTTTTACGCGTGAAAAAAAAGAAAAACCTTTTTAAAATGGAATCCGGAAAATTTGTATGCAAACTCTGCTCAAAGAAATCAGCTAGCCCTTCAGCTTATAAAAAACATCTAGAAACGCACAAAATGTGCAATATTTGCAAGAAATTTTTATTGCATTCCGCAGCTCTTAAGCTTCATTATGCTGTGGAACATTCTGAGCAAGGAACGAAACCACAGCAAAAAGAAAGAAATTTTTGGGAATATGAGGAACAACAGAATCAGTTTCGCAATGAGATGAGCATTTGGGTGCAGCATCACCTTAATAATAATTCACCAATGTCGAACGAACAAGACATTCCACAGGAATATAATAATCAAGACCACAATCAGTCAGGAAGATCGACGCAAAATCAAAATATCAACCATCACCAACAAAACCATCATCATCATCAACACCAACAACATTTCGAGCATCAACAACAACAACAATGGAATCAACAACAACAATGGAATCAACAACAACAATGGAATCAACCACAGCAACAACAATGGAATCAACCACAACAACAACAATGGAATCAACCACAACAACAAGAAGAACAACATTTAGATAATCAAATGCAAAATGAACCTTGCACAAAAAGAATAAAATATTGCATTTCATGCAATGATAATATTTTATTAGAAACATGGATCATGCATTGTAGATCAGAATTGCATAGAAATAAAAGCGAGAGAATAATTAAAGAAAACCTACAATCAACGAGTTCAGGCTTTGAAAAACGAATTGAGAAGTTCCAATATAAAATAAGCAATAATACTCTCGATTTCAATGAAGTAATTCGCAATTCTGAAAAATCGATTATCGCACTAATAGAAGACAAGTTAAGCACACATTATTTGATTAAATTCAATCTAAATGTTGTTGGCGAATATTTTAAAGAATCAGCAGAAAGTGATGCGTTTAATACCATATTCCACAACACCAAAACCACACAAATCACATTTTCTGATGATGTAGCGGAAATTTTAAAACAGCATTTTGATGAGTTGAAAAATAAGCTGTCGGAGTTCCAAGAACGTGACTCTGGATGGGCTCTATCCCAATTTAAAACACTCGAAATAAGCGTTAACAAATCTTCTCCACTGAAGGGATCGCAATATATACCAACACCAGCGACGCTTGCAAAGAAGAAAGCATGCATCAATATTTCGAATAATGATGTGTATTGTTTCAAATGGTGCATAATTGCCGCATTCGGAAATAGGCTTACGAATGCTGGTAAAACATCATCATATAATATCAGAAATATTGCAGATCCGATAATAATTGTTGAAGATGGATTTAGATTAAATTTTAGTGGTTGACAATTTCCATTAGAATTGAGATCAATAAAAATATTTGAAGAAAATAATCCAAATATAAGTGTTAACGTTTTTGGGTACGAGGAAAATGCTGTTGTTGGACCATATCGCGTCACTAATAAAGAGAAGCCTATACATATCAATTTGCTGTTGTTGGAAAACGAAACCAATTCGCACTACATACTAGTTAAGGATACATCAAGGTGAATAATGAAAATACAATACACATAAATATTTCTAATAACACATAAATATTTTTCTTTTTAGATTACTGTCATCACAACTTTCCTCAGGAGGAAATCATCTGAAAATATGTAATACATGTTTTTATTACACACCAGATTTGAGACTTTTTGAGGGACATAAGGAGAATTGTAGTGGTGTTATTACACATTTCCCCAAAGATGGTAAGAATAGATTAGCATTTGCAAACTACAAGAAGCAAATGGATGTTCCCTTTGTAGTGTACGCTGATTTTGAGTGTGTTTTAAAAGATACTGGGGGAGTGAGTAATACCATAAATAAGCATATTCCATGCGCTTTTGGTTTTAATGTAAAGTGTAGTTTTGATAGTAGTTTAGATAAATATTATTCTTATACCGGTGAAAATGCCGCTCAAATATTTATAGAAACGTTAGAAAGAGCAGGTAGGAATATTTATAATAATTATTTGAATGTAAACCGCCCAATGACACCATTGACATTAAATGAAAAAGAATCATTTTCTTCCGCGGTGTATTGCCATATATGTGATGACGAGTTAGGTACAGATAGAGTTCGTGATCATTGTCATATAACTGGACGGTATAGGGGAGCAGCTCACAATGAGTGTAATATAAATTACACAATTTCAAAATTCATCCCTATTTACTTCCACAATTTCTCTGCTTATGACTGTCATTTGTTTGTAACAAATTTGCTGAGTACAATTGAAGGGAAAACAAATATTATACCTCACAATAAAGAATTGTATACATCTTTATCACAAACAATAAAAATGAGTGATGGTAGATATGATACGCTTGAATATAGATTTTTAGATTCTTTCCGCTTTATGGCAGCCAGTTTAGACGCATTAGCTAGTTTCTGTGATGATTCAGACTTGACATCTATAAGGAAACATTTTTCGAACGATGATGAGTTTAAATTGATGAGGAAAAAGGGTATATTCTGTTATGAATACATCGACTCATTTGAAAAATTAGAGGAAACTGCTCTACCTCCTATTGAAGCATTTCATAGTAAATTAAATGATAAAAGTTGTAGCTTAGAAGAGTATGAACATGCAAAACAAGTTTGGAAAACATTTAAATGCAAGACAATACGTGATTACATGGAATTATATTTAAAAACAGACGTGCTTCTTCTAAACGATGTTTTTGAAAATTTTAGGAAATCATGTAAACGAATTCACAAACTAGATGCATGTCAATATTACACAGCTCCTGGTTTATCTTTTGATGCTATGCTTCGTCATACGAAAATAGACTTGGATTTGTTAACAGATTCAGACATGTTTAATTTATTTAAAAATGGTATAAGAGGTGGCCTTACACAATGCTCTAAAAGACATACCAAAGCAAATAACAAATATATGGAAGATTTCGACAGTAGTAATCCATCTAGCTATTTATTGTATATAGATGCTAATAATTTGTATGGTTGGGCTATGCAACAATACCTGCCAACAGGAGATTTTGCGTGGGTTGATCTCGACAAGACGCCTTTTGATGCTCAGACAATAAACAATTTTAAAGTAAATCAACAAACTGGATATGTGCTAGTAGTTGACTTAGATTATCCAGAGAATCTTCACGATAATCATAATGATTTACCCTTTTGTCCAGAAAATAAGAAGATTGGAGGTTCAAAGTATCCAAAACTTATAGCAGATTTTGCTTCAAAAACCAATTATCCAATACACTACATGAATCTAAAACAATGTTTAGAAAATGGTTTAGTCTTAAAAAAAGTTCATCGTGCTTTATCATTTACACAATCTCCATGGCTAGCCTCGTATATTAATAAAAATAATAAAGAAAGGCAAGAAGCAACTAACGATTTTCTTAGAAACTTTTTTAAGCTTCTAAATAATGCAGTTTTTGGTAAAACTATGGAGAATGTTGATAAACGAAGAGATATAAAGCTAGTAACGACTTGGCTTGATAAAGCACCAAATGTATTGGGTGCTAGATCTTTAATGTCTAGACCGAATTTCAGCAGTGCAACTGAATTTTGTACAGATTTTTGGGCTATTGAAATGAATCGGCTACAAGTAACATACAATAAGCCTACATATCTTGGTTTCTGTATATTAGAATTAGCCAAGTGGAAGATGTATGATTTCCACTATGAATACATGAAGAAGAAATTCGATGAGCGCGTAATTTTAAATTATATGGATACTGACTCTTTTATATATACAATATTTTCTGAAGATGTCTATGAAGAAATAAGACCCGACATTGATAGGTTCTTTGACACATCATCATACCCAGAAGATAATAAATATAATATACCCCGCCGTAATAAAAAGGTTATCGGTATGATGAAGGACGAAAACAGTGGGAAAATTATGACAGAATTTGTTGGACTAGGGCCTAAAATGTATTCATATACGGTAGATGATGGTCAAGAAGTAAAAAAAGCGAAAGGTGTCAAAAAATGTGTCATTGGGCGGTACACCATAAATAACTATAGAAACACCTTATACAATGAAACTAGTACTAGTGATTACATGATAAATTTTAAATCCAAATTACACCAAGTGTATACAACCAAGTTGTATAAAGTAGTTTTAAATTATAAAGATAGTAAAAGGAAAGTAAGATTAGATAAAGTAAACACCTATGCTTGGGGCCATTATGGTATTGAGGATGAGGATGATCTCAGTAATATACTGCAGAATTATGAATCGGAAATGGATATTGACACCAATTTAATTTAATATATTGTATTATTAAATAAACCAACAATTTGTTATTTATTTGTAAGCTATTTATTCCACATTTCCTTTTTCAAATAAAAAAAAAAAAAATAATAATAATAATAATAAATAAAACATTTATAAAGTAATTTTTAATGCTTTTTTATTTTATTGAAAGTTTATGACAGAGGTAAGTACAAAAAAAAAAAAGTATTAATAAAGAAAATAAATTAAATGAGAAAATCTTTAGATTATCTTTCGAACAATTCCAGTGAGTGGTGTATATTCAATTAATCGATCATGGAGTATTAAACAGTATGCTGATGTTTTCGATGGTATTGGTGTATTAGTTTCAAATTCCAGCTTAACATCTATAGGTCCGCTTTTAATGACTTCGTTTTGATAGCTAACATCAATTACTGCAATTGGCATGTTTTTAAACTTTTCCCATGATAGAATTGGTTCGGGTTCTTTTAAAAAGTAATTTTGTTGAAACTTTGCGTACATATCATATAGTACTGCATATCTGTTGTCCTCAAATTTTAAGTTCAAATCATCATACGGATATGTTTCGGAATTTAAATGAACCTTAACATTTACTAAATTAGAGTGAATGAATTTTCCATCATTTTCTAGAGCTAATATTACAAAGCGTGGTCTTTCACTATTTGTTGATAATTTAACATTCCAATGACATTTTGTTGAACCTGGAAATGTTGGATTAAAGTGACAGTCCCAGCTTCGAAACGCAATAGGGAGCGACTTTCCATTGTTAATTGTTTTCATAATTTGTAATTTAGATGCATCCGATAAATGTATATGAGGTATTCTCCATGTTATATTTGTGATTGTCAAATTTAATTTTTCTTTCGAGTCGGTAGAATAGCATGCATATTGATCAGTTGAACTCCGCAACATAATAAGATCATGTTTACTATGTAAAATGACTCTGTTGTAATCTTCCGCAAACCCCAACAGCCTTTTGAGTGGGACGCAAAAGTTGAATACACCCATGCTTAGATCTTCACCATTATTCCATCCTGCATTTCTCATTATGTTGCGTTCAGCACTCGATAGAGAAACAAAATTTTTTATTGTGCTCGATGCACCTAAATGGCGTGTGCGATCGACTTCAATACCATTTATTTCATATCGGATTTCATCAAAGAAATAGGCTACGCAGTTATTACGCAAACGAGCATTAGACGATAATTCTCCTCCTGGTAATGTTACCGAGCCTTCAACATATATATAACTTTCACTTGGTAATAGATATAAATCTTGATTTTGAATTGTAATTCTTATTTCATCATTGTTTTTGAAAGAACGGATGTATGGAACATAGCTATGATAATCTTTTTTAATAATAGTGTCATCTGAGAACGGTCTGTCTTCAATATTAAGTATTTCAGTCATTTTCCTTGAGACGTAGTTTAATAGATTTTAAAAACTGTTTGCTTTTATCCGTGAGTGGTAATGTTTTAGGGTTGATTGTTTTTATTGGAATGTTTAAATATTTGTGTTTATTCATATATTATTATAGATAATCATTTGATATTGGTCTCAAGTGTAATCGAAGGGTAATTTCTTCTCCTCTGAAATTTATTAGTCGTTGATTTTGATCAACGATCCACACTTTAAGCGAACTTATTTCTTTCGCATTCACAGGAAGATAAATTAAATTGCTTGGTATTTCATCCATTTTATATCCAGGGGAAACATTTATACCAAATTCGTGTAGAGTATGCACAGGCGCATTATTCATGTATGCTCCAGTTGTTATATTGCATTGAACTTGTATTGCGCTCACTCTTAAAATATTTACGGGGTAATGTGAAAAATGCTTTACACCAGGTCGTAAAACCCCACCATTAAAACCAAAAGCGTACAGATAGAACGTTCATTATTAAAATCAATAATATCATGGGATGAAAATATTTCAAGTTGTAATGTGTTGTTATTAGCTATAATATCTATAGTTTTTGTGTTGTCTTCGTTTTCGTATTCACTTTTAATGTAGTCGACAATATCCTCAAGTTCATAGGAACCAATAGGAACTTCTATTGTTTTATTTCCAATATGAAACAAATTGTTATCGAAATCGATATTTGGTATAGAATTGTATGAGTGGAAGTCAACTAATGAACACTCATAATCCTCATGTAATTGAATTGGTGGGAAATAATTAGCAGTTAAAGTTGAAGACTTTCCGGTTAGCGCAAGTGTAATTGACATATTGAAGGCTTATATAGAAATGAAAAGACATATGTTTGGTATTTATAAATTAAAAAATTTTATTATTCAAATCTTATGTATTGATGTAAATAGATATTACAATTGTTAGCGGGAGAATCAAATTCTAGAACTTGTTTGTTCGTTTGTCAGTTTAATTCTAATTTTATTGAACAAAATGTATTACTTAAGTGCTAGTACACAACAGAAATCTTAGGGGGGTTTAATCTTATGCATCTACTTAAGGCTACAAACACTTGACATTTCTAATTCTATGCATAGGCCTAATGCAACACACAATTGCTGTGATCTATATTTACTCCCCAGCTGAGCGCATGTTTATGGGAGAATATTCTTTATTATCAATGCGTCTCCAGCAGCATGAAGTGTTATCATCCCTTATGCTCTTATCTTTCATGCACACACATTTACAAGTACTCTAGAATGTTGGGTTAAAAATACATAAACATTTTATAGCCTAAATCACTTAACGATCTAATTTATTGCAGCAGTCTTTCATGTTCATAGTTTTATGAACATTTTCCCGGGCGGCAAATAATTTATTTAGACATCCTGGCCTCGGGGAAATTGAATTTCGGTTATGCGTTTTAATTTTTTCTGTCTTCTTATAAATAAAATAATTAGAATTATTATTACTATAATTACTAAAATAAAAGCTACGTGTGATGAGATGTGATGGAACTTCAAGCCTCGCAATTCCACATTTTCTTTCTTTAACTTGTCCACGAATTTCTTTAGCTCGTCAATTTCTTGATGATGATTGATAAGTATATTTCCAAGGGGTTTGATTGATTCTTTTTCGTCCGGACTTACATCCTTCAAAAGAAACGAATGGAATTCTGTGCTTATCTCGTTATGAACTCTATGCACAGCTACCAACGTTACTTTACCGATCCTCGCTGTACAGTCTGCATCCAGCGTGAGAATTCCTTGCTTTGGAAGTTCCATAATCGTCTGTTGTTTGTGAGAGCATTGCAAATGAGCTGTTGCACTTGAAAAGGTTTTAAAAAGCCAATTGCCATTTCGTTTCAATGGCATCCAATAAGGCATTCGTTCCACTTCGTCATAGGCGCAGTTTAGTTTTATGTGCGGTCTCAGAGGAGATAATTCACAATTATTTGTAGTTGCATCTCTCCATGGAAAATTCTCTTCGCACATTATCTCCTTACCCAACGTCTCTTTGCACTCATTCAGCATAGGCTGTGTTAAGAAATGAAAAGAATCCAGCTCAAAATTATATACAATGTACGGGGAATTCACCCGGGCTATCAATATCGTATTTCCTTCTTCAAATGGTATCGGAATTACTTTGTAAAACTGGGATGACTGCCGATTGAACAGCGGTATTTTTATATTAATTACCAGTTGGGACCCCACAAACGATCCGTGGCACGTCATCAAATGTAAGATCTCTTTTAATTCCATTCCCGTACGCTTTCCTGGCAGTACATATTTTTCAGGCAGAGCATCTCGTATTTTTACTATCTCTGCTTGTAATTGTTTGGGTGTTATCAGGACGGGATGAAACTTACCGCTGTTTACATCAATTAATGCATCAACAACTTCTTTTTGGACTTCGTCACATTCTTCCAAAAGCTCATGAATTTGTTTTGCTATTATAAAGAATCGTATGGATTCTCTATACACGAAGTAATTCTCATTCATTGTAGCACTTATGTTCTCAATTTTGCCTTTGATATCCGAAAAGTGCGAATTCACTTCCTCTGTGGTTTTCCTTAAAAGATTTACTGTAGCGTCGACTACAGATGTCTGTTGTTTTGCTAACTTCTTCAAATCCTTTTGGTTGGCTAATAGATTTTTCATATTGCTCTCCATAGCTACTCGATCGTCATCGTCCATTACCCCAAATGCCCAGTGTTGAAACGAACCTACAAATTTCAACGGAGCTCCTCTTTTTTGACGATTGTCTTCTCTGAGGAATAATCGATTGTTGGTCTTTATCTTATTAATCTTGAGTTCCATATTGTTAATCGTGGACCAACACTGCTCCTCAAAAGTTTGAAGTCGTGGGCATAAGCTTTTTGATGTTTTCAGCAATTCGGAAGCCAGGTCTAATGTTTCTAAATATGGTTTCAGCTCAAAGTACACAACCATATTCCATGATGAGGAAACCATGTGAATTTGAGACATGGGATCCAAATATACCGCAGCCGAACTATTCAGTTCATGTACAGATGATGCCTTGGTAGATATTAGTAAAAATAAGTTCAGCATCATTGCCCACGTTATTGGTTGTTTCCTTATTTTTCGCTCACATCTTGTCATATTAGTATGTGTAATTTCCGCCTGTTTTTCCTGTCTGGGCAATTCTTCAGATTCCTCGTCCATATGCTCCAATGGACATAATTTGTTAATTGGCCTCTTTATCACGCCGCCTTGTGTTTTAACTGTCACAATCCTTACAACTCCGTCCTTCCCTGGATGGACTTCTACCACCTTGGCCAGTGGCCATCGCGCCGCGTGCGTTTCTTCGTTTTTCAATATCACCACATTGCCTATTTCCACATTATTATTTTGTTTCTTCCATTTCATTCGGTTTTGTAATGTGGTTAGATACTCCTCTTTCCATCTGCTCCAAAAATGACTTTTAATTCGTTGTAGCAGTTTCCATCTATTAAGACATCCTAAGTTACCTTCATCGATAGTCGCCGGTGATTCTAACATCGGACGGCCAATTAAGAAATGTCCAGGTGTTAAAGTGTCAATTATTCTGTACCGCTTCCAAGTTCATGTAGCGGCCTCGAATTTAATACTGCTTCAATCTGAGATAGCACCGTACTCAACTCCTCGTAAGTCAATTTCGTATCACCAATTATTCTTTTTAGGTGATATTTCATGGACTTCACTGCTGCTTCCCAAATTCCTCCAACGTGAGGAGCTGCCGGCGGAATGAAATGCCAACTTATTTTTTCATTTTCCAAAATGGGAGCTAACTTCGTGTTGTTTTTAACGGCATCCAAAAAGTCTCTGTCAAGCTGCCTTGCTGCCCCTACGAAGTTCGTTCCGTTGTCTGAATATAAGTCGGTTGATTTTCCTCTTCTCGCGAAAAATCGCCTTAGCGCCGCCAGAAATGCTTCCGTTGTAAGTTCGCTGACAGCTTCCAAATGAACCGCCTTAGTTACCATGCATACGAACACCGCTACGTAACCCTTCATAGCCTTCACTCCTCTTGTTTTGGAGCACCGTATTTGTAGCGGACCCGCATAATCAATGCCACAGTGTTGAAAGGGTTGATTTATACTGACACGGTAAGCTGGTAAATTTCCCATCAATTGATTTCGCACTTCACCTCTAAAGCGCGTACATCTTGGACAACACCTAATGCAAAGTTTTATCCTATTTTTAGCTCCAATAATCCAATATTTTCGTCTTAGTATATTTTCCATAAGTCGATTTCCTCCATGCATCGTTTGAATATGACAATTTCGAATGATATTTCCCGCTAATCTTGACTTTTGAATAATTATTGGATGCTTTTGGTTATAGTTCAGCTCTGACAAAGCAAGTCTTCCACCAACCCGCATTATGCCATTTCGATCCAACTGTGGATGTAGTGAAGCTATTTTACTTTGATGATCCACCGTTCCCAATGTCTTCAATTTCCTTAGTTCCACTGGCCATTCTCTTTCTTGATGTAGTTTTATTATCTCCATCTCTGCTTCTTCCAACTCTTTTGCCGTCAAATGCTCATTTACTGCTCGCTTCTTTTTAGCCCTTTTATAAAACGCAGTAGATAAGCCATTACACGTATCTGTTTCTTAAATGACGAATACTTCATCATACTTTCATATAAGTGGTTTTCAGTCGAAAACTTTACTGTTGTTGCTACTGTTTGATTTATGTTGCTTTTTGGCCAATCTTGTTCATCTTTTTTCAGCCATTCGGGCCTTCCCACCACAATGTATTGTTTGTCAAAGTCTCCGGTGGGACACCCCTTGAACCCATATCTGCTGGATTCTCCTTTGACTTGACGTAGCCCCATTTCGCTTCGGGTATTCTCTCCAAAATATCCATCACCCTTGTTTTTATGAACTTATCCTTGTTTTTGGAGTTGTGAATCCATGCCAAGGAAATCATGGAATCACTCCAAGCAAAAGTTGGTGTTGCTGACTTCAATACTCCTTTGATCTTCTGTAGTAGTTTAGCCAATAGATGTGTTGCACAAAGTTCCAGCTTTGGAAGCGTCTTCCTATTTTTTACTGGATTTACCTTACTTTTTGCAGCTACTATGGTCACCTGCGAATTTACCTTAAGGTATACGACTGCTGCATAAGCCTTCTCGGAAGCATCTGCAAACCCATGTAACTGTGCAGTTTTGTCTTCCAATATTCCAAACCATCTTGGAATCCTTAAATTTTCTAAAGCAGGCAGACTGTATGTAAACTGCCGCCAATCTCCACTCAATTTCTCCTCCAATGGCACATCCCATTCTATTTGTTGTATCCATAACTGCTGTATAAATAGTTTTGCTGTTACCGTGACTGGCGTCAGCCAACCTAATGGATCGAATATTTGTGCCAGTCTTGACAATGCTATTCGTTTTGTCAACTTGTCTTCTTTTTTAATTTGCATACTAAATGTAAAGCAATCGATCTGTGGATTCCATTGTAATCCCAATGTTTTCAAGCATTCATCTTCTTCTATTCTCAGCACTTCATTTTCTTCATTCAATTTCACCGCACTCAATACTTCAGGAGAGTTTGATATCCATTTTCTTAAATGAAACCCATAATCCTCCAGTTGCAGCGTTATCTTCTTCTGCACCTCCCTGCATTCTTGTTTTGTATTCGCTCCTGTTAAAAGGTCGTCCATGTAGAAATCTTCTTTGATCCTCTGAGCGATTTCTTGATTCTGGCACCTATTTCCAATTTCTATGAGCGATCTTACAGCCAGAAATGGTGCTGATGCAGTGCCATATGTTACCGTAGTAAGTTTATATTGTTGGATAGGCTCCGACGGATTACTCCTCCACAACACATGTTGGTATTCCTGGTCTTCTTTTTCAACTTTAATCTGACGAAACATTTTCTCCACATCAGCTGAGATGACAAACTTCCACGATCTCCACTTTGTTACAATGTCAAATATATCTTTTTGAAGCCTTGGTCCCACGTGAAGTATGTCATTCAGCGACTTCCCATTTGAAGTTGTCGATGAAGCATCAAATACCACTCTAACTTTTGTGGTTAGACTTGTTTCACGTACCACTGCTTGGTGCGGCATATAATACAAAGCCTTCTTACTTGGATCCACCTTTACCATTTGGCCCATGGATATGAGCTCGTTCATTGTTTTCTCGTACTCTGACTTTAATTCCGCATTATTTTCTAATCTTTTTTCCAAGTTTATAAACCTCGCCATGGCTCTTTTATATGAATCTCCCAAATCTTTTTCTTCAATTAACGGCAAACGCACGACAAATCTTCCTGAATTGTCTCGGCGTGTTGTGTCTTCATATAACTTAAGGCAGTATTCGTCTTCTTCGGTCGTTTTTTCATCTTCTATTTCCTCTATTTCCCAGAACCTCTCAATTGTTGTTGTTGCTGCCGATTTCTTTATGTTCAATCCAGGATTTACTACTACTGTTCCAGATAAAATCCAACCCAACTTCGTATTTTGTCCCACAATTTGCTCATCGTGGCGAACTCCTTCTTCCAATATTTGTGAGTAAAGATCGGCTCCAATGACTAAATCGATTCTTTCCGGGCTGTTGAAATTTGGATCTGCCAAATTTACATTTCTCCATTTATCCACGTCATATTGAAACCTTCTGTCGGGATGTGCTGATGCAAGTGCTGGAAGGACTAGTGCTTCTGCCTTAATCATTATGTTGCTCAAAAATCTGGGTCGTAGTTCCAGTGCAACTTTAGATTTCGCCACGCCAACTAGGGTCTCTCCTAGACCTTGTAACCTCACTTCTGTCTTCTTCTTTGGTAGCTGCAACAGTTGAGCCGCGTCCTCTGATATGGATGTAATTTGTGATCCTTGGTCTATCAGCGCTTTGACTGTTACAAATTCTCCATGCAGTGATTTTATACGAACTTGGGCTGTTGCTAGCAGAACATTTGTTGTTGTATTGGTGGTCATTGCTTTCGTATGTCCTCTTCGCTCTAAATGCATCACTGTGATGTGATTCATTCCACACTTCTGGCATTTAATTTCATTGTAACATTTTTTATCCTTGTTGTGGCTTAAGCATCTGAGGCAGACCTGTGCTGATCTTGCCCAATTGTATCTTTCATTCGAAGATAACGCCGAAAATTTTCTGCACCATGCGATATCATGTCCGCTCATTTTACAGAACTTACATTGTTTTAATTCCGCTACCACTGCTGATTTTTCTTGGAGTTTGTACAGTCCTATGTTATTGTGTTTTCTGCCTACTGAAGCTTCCAAGGCTTGAAACTGCTGCTCCAGGAAGTCCATCACATCCTCAAGTTTTTGGATGTCCTTGGATTTCTTTACATTCTGCTCATAAAGAATAAGCCCATCCTTATCCAGTTTCCGTATAATTATTCGGGCTAAAATGGGATCCGCTTGCTCTAGGGGAATATCCATTGCTTTCAACGCCTGAATACTTTCATTTACATTGTCCAGCAAATTTCTTATGCTTATTGCTGACAGGCTGTTGATGTTTTGATGGTCCAGTATTCTATCTACCAATTTAGTGAATAAAATTCTCCTGTTGCCATATCTTTTTTCCAGTAATTCCCATGCTGCTTCATAATTTGCCTCGGTCACTTGAAGATGTTGCACCAAGCGAAATGCCTCTCCTTTTAGATTTGTCTTGAGGTAGTACAGTTTTTGAACTTTTGATAATTTGGAGTTTTCATCAATCATCTTTTTAAATAAATCGTGAAATGAACTCCACTCTTCCACATGACCACTAAAGGATGGTATTTGAACTCTTTTTAGTTCTACTTCCAGCGACTCCTCTTTAAGACCATCTATCCTTCTTATCATATCCTGCATTTTGCTCTCAAACTTTTCTTCAATTTCTTCAAATTCGAGATCTACCTCTTCCATTCCATGCACCGTTGAGAGCTCGAGATGCAATTTCCTAATTTCATCCATATGCTTCTCCCACGATGACTTCATGTACTCCAAAGCATATTTTGATAGTCCAGCTAAATCGCATTCAACGGCATCGGCGAGTTTGTTTACTTTTTTCCTGAATTGGTAGATGATTGCGCTTACTTTTATATTCGCCTGATTGCCCATTGGTGATGATTCTATATGGGTTTGTCTTTCTTCCTCATTTTCTCTTTTATTCTTCTCGAACATCAACATAAATTGTTGCATTTGTTGTTGCATTTCCTCTTGGAAGGCCTTTAACTGTTGATCGAGCATTAGCCCATGCACTTCGGGCTCTGCTTCTTTTATTACCCTTTGCGGTTCTCGCTCGACCTCTTCTTCCAAACTCGCTAGGAGTTCCTTTGCTTTTCCATAGTTCAAGTTGATGAGATCCCAAACATTTTCTTTGAAATAGGGATCAGTGTTTTCGCCATGCACTCTCAGCATTTCGTGGTTCGTAGTGGCTTCCTTCATTTTGCTTTCCAGGGATCGTAGTGTGTCACCCATGGCTGCTTTCCGAACCATGCCTGCTTGCAGTTTTTCCTTAATCCCAATTACTTCTTTAAGGAGTAGGCTTTGGAGCTTATACAAGTTATGTCTCGACGCCATTTTTCCTTGTTTTGTGAAGCAAGTAAAATTTGTAGTTTTAGCTTCTTTTCTTTAATGCCCCTGTGGCTTTTTTCAAAATTATTCTGTTTTATTTTTTTGCTTTTGTTGCCCCTATGGCTTTTTTTGATTTTTTCTTTGCCCCTATGGCTTTTTTTGTTTTTTCTTTGCCCCTATGGCTTTTTTTTTTTGTTTTTTATTTGCCCCTATGGCTTTTTTTTGTTTTGCCCCTATGGCTTTTTTTTTTTGTTTTTTATTTGCCCCTATGGCTTTTTTTGTTTTGCCCCTATGGCTTTTTTTTTTTGTTTTTTATTTGCCCCTATGGCTTTTTTTGTTTTGCCCCTATGGCTTTTTTTTCTGTTTTGTTTTTTTTTTTTTTACAAAAATATAATTCTCTTTTTTTTTTTTGAAATATATTTTTGTGGCCGCTGGTTTTTTTTTTTTGTCGAAGGACCAATGTTAGCGGGAGAATCAAATTCTAGAACTTGTTTGTTCGTTTGTCAGTTTAATTCTAATTTTATTGAACAAAATGTATTACTTAAGTGCTAGTACACAACAGAAATCTTAGGGGGGTTTAATCTTATGCATCTACTTAAGGCTACAAACACTTGACATTTCTAATTCTATGCATAGGCCTAATGCAACACACAATTGCTGTGATCTATATTTACTCCCCAGCTGAGCGCATGTTTATGGGAGAATATTCTTTATTATCAATGCGTCTCCAGCAGCATGAAGTGTTATCATCCCTTATGCTCTTATCTTTCATGCACACACATTTACAAGTACTCTAGAATGTTGGGTTAAAAATACATAAACATTTTATAGCCTAAATCACTTAACGATCTAATTTATTGCAGCAGTCTTTCATGTTCATAGTTTTATGAACAACAATATTTTCTTATAATAAGTCGTTTTTATTTATCCAAGAATTATGATTATTAGAGAACCCCAACCATTTCACATATGCTTTATCTCCCTTGGTCTTTAAAACTTTCTCCACAAGATAAGTATTAGGATATCGTGTACGTTTCAATTCTTCTTTGTAAAAACCACCTTTGATGGGATTACCTGCATAGTCTTCCAATAAATATGTGACTGGATTTGTCACTTGAATTGATTTTATTCGGAATATTTCTGTAGTATAATTCGGTGTATACCCTTTTTCAAAAACATTCTTATATTTACTTATTCGAACATAATCTCCTACACGATATTTAGATGGGGGGAATATTTTAATATGATTATAGACAGTATTAAGCAACATTGTTTCATTTCTCTTATTAACTTCTATGGGTGCCATGTGGATAGTGCGATGTATTCGTCTATTATATTGATCAACCAGTTTTTTATGAAGGTCAATCCATTGATATGTTCCATTATAGGAGAACTCTCGAAACATTATAGATTTTAAGGTACGGTTAAACCTCTCAACGACAGATGCTTTCATAACACTATATGTTGAATAATGATTAATTGAATATATTTTCATAAGTTTAGTAAAGTCTTTATTAAAAAATTCTTTGCCATCATCAGTTTGTAAATTTTTGGGTATTCTGCCACCATTCAAAATTTTTGTGAATGCTTTGCACACATCGTAAGCACCTTTTGTTTTAACTGCTTCCGTCCAGGCATATTTAGAGAAAGTATCAATAACTGTGAGCAAGTACTTCATTCCTTTATTAATTGTAGAATAATTTCCCATTTCCACTAAATCCGCTTGCCATAAATCGTCAATGCCTTTTGTTATAACTCTTCGGCGAGGAAATCGCTTTCTCGCTTGAGAATGAAGCTCATTTACAATTGCTCGTCTTTCCATTTATCAGTTTTTGAGAACTTGGTCAAGAATAATGTTTTGAGGTAATGACATTAGTGAACCAACGCCGTATTTGTTTCTAGAACCCCTGAGTTCTTTTCTTAATAGATCTATTTCTTTTCGCAAATTTCTTATTTCGGATGATACATCTCTTTTTATAATTTCTTTAACGTGTACGATTTGTGTTTGTAGGTAAGCTTTGTTGACTGCGTCGTTATTTTCCGACGGTTGGCCCAAATTTTTAATTTTCCTATTTTTGATATCGATGTTATAATGCTGGTCAATAGCAATGCCCAAAAATTTTGAGGCATTTTTTCTAAAAGTATTAGAGTTGGAGTAGTGACCGAATTTATCGACGCTCATTTCATAATTGATAATATTCTAAAAAAATCAGTGTATTATATTGGCTTCTCTTAACTCTTCAATAATTGATGTGATTTCGTTGTCCTGATTAGTATGCCCAGCATTTTTAGAAGCTATTAATAATTTTAAACGATTAACAAGTTCATTAGGATCATCCCAATATATATAGTTTGGTTTCTTGAGAATAACATTCATTAGGCCCTCGCCAGTGTGAGTAGATTGAAATAATTTTTTAATTATTTTTGTATATTTTGGGCCCCGGTTTCCTCTTATTTGTCCATTAGGTTCATTATTTTTTCGATGTACGCATGTATTTTCCAAAATTTTCTTGTAGGTATATATCTAATTCATATTTATCGTAACCACTTGGATTTTTATGAAACAGTAGGTTATATAAACCAGCTGTTAGAGCCCATGTTTGATTTCCAATTTTTATTTTATCATCAACAAAATATAGCTTGCTATTTCCAAAATTCCAATCACCTGCATCGTCTTTGTGTGGACCATATATTGTATCAAATGTATTTTTTTTCCAATAATGCATTCAAATTGTTATCGCCATTATCATATACTGTTTCTGGTTCTTCGTCGGAATAAAATGTATCATCAATGGAGTCATCTTGATCCTCGTGTTTAACACTGAACTTGGTTTCATCTTTCTCCTTTTTAGATTCATTTTTAATTATGTTCATTTTATTCTTGGTCTCAGCCAAATTTAAATGAGATAATTTTACAACATCTTTTAGTGGTTTTATTATTGGTTGAATGTGTACTCCAATCGCTTCCCCATCTCGTTCTCTCCCAGTTTGATTGATTGAAATTTTCTTTTTAAAACACTCCTCGATTTAATAAGTTCTTTTAAAACGTCGTCGTCCATTTTTCTAAACCGATGGTTTTCAAACTGATGGTTTTTAAAGTGGCGGTTTCTAAACCGATGGTTTTCAAACTGGTGGTTTCTAAACCGATGGTTTTCAAACTGGTGGTTTCTAAACCGATGGTTTTCAAACTGGTGGTTTTTAAACCGATGGTTTTCAAACTGGTGGTTTTAAACCGATGGTTTTCAAACTGGTGGTTTTTTAAACCGATGGTTTCCAAACTGGTGGTTTCTAAACCGATGGTTTCCAAACTGGTGGTTTCTAAACCGATGGTTTCCAAACTGGTGGTTTCTAAACCGATGGTTTTCAAACTGTTTTTTTTTTTTTTTTTTTTTTTTTTTTTTTTTAATGAAAGGCTGTAGCTTTCAATATAGCTGGACGGATTAAGCGCAATGACTGATTGAATCAAAGTATAATGGAATACTAAATATGTATAAACACATTAAATCCTTTTCTATATCGGCCATTCAAAATGCTGTCATCTTTGCTTATAACTAAAATCCATATTTATCCTTCCAGCATACTCGACAAATCTCGACAAACTTGTTGAAAGACATATCTCCTCCAACATGCTCATTAAAAATATGTTTCATATTAACATGGTCTTGTTTAAATATAATGAGAAAATTTGCATTGTCTCTTACAAGATGTTTTGGAATTCTTGTGTATGTTTGACATAAATAAAAAGAATCGATATTTTTGTGTCTCCCCATGCAAAAATATGCACGAATATTATTTTGTTTTTCACAAGCAACATCATCAAATATCATTATAGAGTTTTCTTCAGCATCATTTGGTTGTATAACATCAGCATTTTCGGAAAATGTGTAGAACCCCATTCCTTTTATAGGAGCTATGAGCTTTTCTAAATATTTATATTTTGGTTGATGAAGTGATTTTGAATATAAATAAATGTTTTCGAATTTTAATCCATTAGGACTTTCAATCAAACTAATCATAACATTTGTTTTTCCGCAGTTCGATGGACCAACTATTACAGCTCTTATAGAATTTGGTAGCAATTGACTATGTTTGGGTTTTCCGCTATTATGTCGTTTAAAATCAAAGTTTCTCACTTTGATATTTGTATCTTGTTCCATCAAACGCATTTTATTAACTGTACACTATTATATTTCATCATAAAACTTATATATTAAATTATTTTTTTTTTTATATATATTTTTTTTTTCTAGATTTTTTTTTGTTTTAAATATATAAAATGATTGTTTATTTGAAAAATAAATTCAATTGCAATCGAAACATACAAGGAAGAGGATTACTAAATAATACTATAAATTCACTTCCATTTGAGCTTCACTTGCCTGGTTATCAATATTGTGGGCCCGGAACAAAGTTGGAAAAAAGATTACAACGAGGTGATAAAGGAATAAACGGCTTAGACGATGCTTGCAAACTACATGACATTGAATATTCTAAAACAACTGATATAAATCTACGAAATAAAGCAGATCAAGAACTAGCTGAACGAGCTTGGGGTCGAGTTAAAGCGAAAGATAGTACTTGGGGAGAAAAAGTTAATGCTTATTTGGTCACCAACACTATGAAAGCTAAATCCAAACTTGGTATGGGTATAACGAAGAAAAACATATGCAAAAAGAACTTATTTTCTTCTGCAGTAAAAAATGCAACATCAGTATTAAAAAGAAGAAACCGCATGATATCAATGCAGCGATAAATATTGCTCAAAAAGAAATTGGAAAATCATTCAAGGGGAAAAAATCTAATGTTATTATTCCTAGAGTTATAAGAATACCGAAAATTGGTGGATTCTTACCAATAATACCAATTTTAACAGCCCTCAGCGCAGTGGGGGCATTGGCTACTGGTGGATCATCTATAATGAAAGCAATAAACTCAACAAAGGATGCAAAGAGACAGTTAGAAGAAAATATTCGTCATAATAAATCTATGGAAAACATAGCCATAGGCAAGGGACTCTACCTCAAACCATTTAAAAAAGGGATGGGTATTATATTCAAAAATAAACTATCGACAAAAAAGTAATATGTAAGCTACCCAATAGACCTCTAACAGATTTCGATATTAGAACGTTTGCAAGGAAATATATTCCGCATTTTAGAGGAGTATATATGCGTGACAAACTCCCCAAAAAACCACATATTATAGAATGCGGCATTGTTAATCTCGATTCGTATAAAGGTCCTGGGACCCATTGGGTAG